TGCATCCGTGAAGAAATATGTGGGAGTGAGCACAAAAGGAACCCGTAGTGCTCACCACTATGCACATAGACAATATATAATATCAAGATGGTATGGTCGCAGCATGAACATAAAACAATAGATCCTGTCTCATCTCTTATACAATATCACACCAATTCACATTACTCATGTGTACACATCTATCGCTAGCCGCAGAATGGGGATTCATTACCCGAAGGCGGGAGTTTATGCCACGCTACGGACACGACCTTTTATATAGGCTTACGTACCTCACAAGGGCACAACCATATCAGGACTTAAAGAGACTTGCCTCGCAAAGGGCAACCATATTACATCGACGGGGACAACCGTACCGATGACCGTAACAACTCACTTCGATAGGCTACATGGTTTACATGCATAACTTTGATCATACCGACCCAAATAAATGAAAACACGTATGGTATAGAATTTTTTAGAATAACGAACCAACCTGGGCAAATGCAAGAGATATCACGAAAGTACGTATAGGCGGCGAGCTTGGCTCATCAAACACCTACATTAAATAAAATAGCCCTATAAATGACTATCCAACACATGAATAACTAACTATAACAATAATTTAGTTCAACCAAGCTCATATAATCATATAAGCATGCATTTAACAGAAAAATCCCATTTCCAAAAACACCACATAAGATTTTCAAAACCTAACCCGAGAAGTATTTTTTAAAATCAACATAACTATCAGCACATAATTCATATGAACATGATTCAAGTCTCATATTAATCCTTAGACATGCATATACAACTTTCATGAAGACCTCAGTAGCAAATAATGGCATTTAGCAGGACATATATGGACTAACATTATGAACCTAGTTGCAGTCGGAAAACATAAACATGCTTGAGCACAGTTTCAGTAAAACAGACATATCTCATGCTAAACATATCATATTGACATGATTCTTACATCATTAGAAAGATACTAGACAGAATCACAACTTTTGTTTAGGCCACAGAAGCAGATAAGGTCATTAAGAAGGTGTAAAAGTAAATAACAATAAGAATCAATTTCTGCTAAAAGTATAAATCCCGCTTCATGCATATCTTCATTCAATTAAACTTCGAGCTACATACATCATATCAGAGAGAACTTTACCCCATCAGAAAGCTAAGAAATAGACCTATAACTTTTATTAAGATCAAAATTCACTAGCACATCAAGACACACCAAACATGCCAAATTTTTAATATGAACTTGCTGCAGGGTTTACAGAAAACTGTTCGCACAATATTTTTGTAAAAATCATATCTCACTCGAACGAAATTCTAAAGTCCAGAGAAAGCTAACAGAAAGGACTTATGAAGAATACAATTTCAGATAACAGGTTTTTGAGGGCTAAAACAGAGGCACAACAAAACAGTAATAACACGATAAATCATGAATTCTCAAAGACACTTCATCTCTATAATCCCCATGTCTAAAGCAACTCATTTACATCAATAACAACACCAAATATCACATATTAAAACACATAAACAAGGAAATATTTACACCATATAGCATGCTTTAACACCAATTCAACACCATATCACATTAAACACATAATTATCCCATGAGCAACTAAATTTCAACCCTAGCATATATATACCATCAAGACCTCAACATATCATGAAATAACATCTCAAAATTTAAAGGGTTCAAGCCTTAATACCGTTCTCGGAAAATAATCATGCAAAAGGAACGAGAAGTGGCCAAGACAGAGCTGAAACAGGGCTATTACGCGCGTTCACGGGCTCGGCAGCGCACTTGGCTCGCCCGCGGTTTCACGCGACGGGAAGAAGGCAAGCAGCGGGTCCTCGTTGGTTGCGGGAGAATGAACGACGGCCTGACCACTTTGCGAGTGAGCAGCGAATACGGGGTCCTCGAGTGGAACGATCAGAGCATACCGGATGGTGGTCGCGAGCAGGTTGACGAGGCGCGCCGGTGGTGGACTTGCGGACTGCGAAACACGGGGGTTGCACACGAGCAGCGAACGGGGCCCGAACTAGGGTCGCGCGATGAAGACGTGCAGCAGCGATAGCGAAGGGATGTAGGGCGTGTGATCGTCGAGGGAGTGTGAGAGATTGAGAGATTACGAGAGAGTGATGGAGCGATGGAAAAGGAGAGCGAGAAAATAAAAAGTTGCGGGGAACGTGTATGAGAGGAGAAGAACTCTCATATATATACACCTAGGTTAAGTTTTAAACTTGCCAAACAAGTTAAGTAACCCACAAGAGAGAGGGAACGAGCCGGGTCGGGCTATTACCGTAGGTGCGAGTCCGGGCTGAACGCGCGAGTTCGCGGGCCGCACCGACTCTCTACTCGGTTTCAACATAGCCAATTAAAATGGCTCGATTCAATCGCACGGGCTCGAGATATAAAATAAAAAATGACCGGATACTATATATATATATATTTTACACACAATATATAATAATAATAATAATAATAATAATAATAATAATAATAATAATAATAATAATAATAATAATAATAATGATAAGCAATTAATACAATTAATTAAAGTTGGCAATAAAAATAAATTTGACAATTAATATCGATTAATAATAGTGATGCATATAAATAATAATGACAATTAATATCAAGAATAATAATAATAATAATAATAATAATAATAATAATAATAATAATAATAATAATAATAATAATAATAATAATAATAATAATAATAATAATAAATAATGCTCGATAAATCCATGAATAAACGAGACATTACATTCTACCCACCTTCAAAAGAATTTCGTCCTCGTAATTCGAAAACAAAACAACTAGAATACAAAAAGGGAAATATCAAAACATGAAGTTCGAATATCTCCTCCTAATCTCGGCCTCCTTCTCCCAAGTCGTCTCACCCTCGACTTGACTACCCCCACTGGACTTTGACGAATACCCCTTTCCGGCCTTTCCTTGATGAACCCTCTGTTCCAATAGGCCACCAGTACCTCCATACAGGTAGGCTTCTGCCTATCACACAGCTCGTCACAATTCACACGTACCTCGAGATCACGCACACATTTCCTCTATCATAAGGCATAGAACGTGTCATGCATCCTCGCAAGCTCCGGTCGTGGAGTCAACCATCATGCTAAGTCATCGACTTAGTCGAGAAATTATAATAGGACTGACAATCATCAACATCACTTATCCTCAATACTGGTACCTTCAGAACACACAGTTTTGTTTGATACTGTTGACAACGCCTCACTCCATGCCGACACGAATAACACCCCGTATGCGACTTAGGAGGTAATAACTAGAGATACTGAAATGATCTCCTATCGCAGAGTCGATCTCACAAATGGGGATGCTCGACATTCCCTTAGTAACCATCTAACTCCAATACTCTCTCATTCTTCGTAGGTCTCGATCTCTACGAAGTACCCATAGTCTCCACTCAAGACTCCGCTCAACATCAATGCGGGACTACTATCTTGCCATCTCGAGAAAATATCCCATGTGGCAAAGAAAACTAATCGACAAGCCTCACACATCGAGGGTTGTTGATTAGGAAATTCATACACGGTTCTAAAGATCAACATACTATTTGGCCAAGAATACTGATTCAATGGCCCAAGGAGACAAGGTCGGTCCAGGGTTTAATGCACTATCACCCGAGGGATGAAAAACATGCTGGCGCTGCATATGCGGGGCGCTGGGACGCGTGCGTGTACCCACTCGGATACCAACTACAAGGTTGCAGTTTGGCCATGCGCACTAGCCTAGTGAGTCCAAGCTTAACGACAAACATCATAATCTTGTGCAAGACGAGCATTAGAATAATATCAGTTTATGTTGTATTTACAGTTATCATATTTTTGGTATATGTTGCGTTTTTAATTACATAACTTTTACCAGCTCAAATGTCCTATTTCGCATGCAGCTCTTGAACAACAATCGGACACCATCAATGAAGAGATTGATGTCTGGTCTAATCTCTTTATCCAATATCAGTACCATCAAGTCTTGTAGATTCATGAATGAAACCCTTATCAATAAGCTCCATCAAAACACTATGGCAAATCGACGTTCTCGACAAAAAAGAATTTCTTACCATTTTGTCCAGCCAACAGAGCTAATAAGTACCATGGCGAAAATCAATTATCTATATAGAATAACTACTCAACAACTAATACTTAAACACACATTAGAACTACAAATAAAAACGAAACAAAGAACATTAGAATATCTAAAATAATATAAACAAATAATAATAAAAAAAATGTTAATTTGTCGTCTTATATCAATTTCCTCATCAACAAAAGTCTCTGCTAATATATCAAATAAATAAACATCGAAACAGATTCGATCGAAACTACTTGTATGCCGCCACTGCTCATAAGCAGGGCCGTCGTCACTGAGACTCTGCTGCTCATCTATGTCAAATTTTATATGTTTTTGCGAATAAAATATGTTAGTCCACGTACAACATTTTATATTTTAGTTTATTAATGGGTAATTTTCTCTATATTTATTTTGTGGAAAATTAATAACACCCTTTAAATCAAGAAGACCCAGACACATTACCCCCCC